CCAATTCTCAAAAAAAAGTCATTTTCAGAAATTTTGGTTTGGTCTACTATTAGAAAATATGTATACTTTACTATTATTATTATTTGCATTTTATTTAAGGATATAATTTTGAAAAGTTTTGTCAATGGTTGCATTGCCACAATGTCATTAGTATTGTGCTTCATCTGTAAATAATTCACAGCTGCAACTTATTTTCTATTAATTCTTCTATAAAAATGTTATAGCAGAGTACAAATATAATAAAGTAGATAGACTTTTATTTATCCATTATATTATCAAGGTGATTTAATTATGGATATGAATAGCATGACAAAATATGTAATTGCAATTTTAATTTCAGCAGATGGTTCTGCACTGGACAATCAGAAACAAGATAATAAATACATCCATATTTAGAAAAAATAACTTCAAATATCTACATTCATCAATAAAACAAATACCAATACTCCCATTTCTAAAATATGCAACAAAATACAGCTTCATGTACCTTTAGTCAGGAATTCAAGATGCATTTCTTACTTATAATAAAACTGTTTACCCAGGTTCAAAGTGGACCACAGTAGCTTAAAGTTAACATACACCGTAAATAATTATTGCTAATGTTTAATAGCAGAATACTTTGTAAATAATTATTGCTAATGTTTAATACCAGAATACTTTGGTTTTCAGTGTAAGGATGAAAAATGCAAAAAATACTAACAGCAATAACTGCAATACATTCTTTGCTCCTCTTCCAATTGCATTATAGGCCTTCTAGGCAAGTCTCACTTTGCAATGTTTTAGAAAATAAACTGAACTGGTGTTTCACCTGTAGAAACTGCCCATATGGTCTTTATAACTTTATCCAATAAGCTTAAACCAGCATGTTATTGTTCTAAAACTGCTACTTTTTTCCACTAGCATATTTCTTACCAAAAGACTGTTTTTGCGATAATGAATTTAACCATTCATTATCTCTTTCCTACACACACACAAAAAAAATCACCTATGCATACACATTACATATTTTTGGACTGATGTCCAAAATCACCTAGTTGTTTCCAATAATTTGACCTAAAGCAAAATCCCTCTTCTGAAATTGTCTCCTCTGTAAAACAGCACTTGTTGCTGAAAATAATCCATAAAGCTAGACTTTTAGGGTACTGTATTTGCCCTGTAAAAGATATCTACTTCCAATGTTAGATTGTGTGTGGTATTTCTAAGAATGATGCTACGTAAGCAGGTGCACAATAAAAAGAATAATACCAATGCTATGGTGCAATTGCAACATTTAAAGTATATGAAATCATCATTTTTGTTACAGTAATCCAAAATCAGTGTCTAATGTCAACTAGTTAACCATTTTAAATCTTTACTATGACCAAGTTTGCCTTTGAAGAAAATTGATATACTCTAGAGAGGATAAAAGAAATGTTTAGTGTGTTTCTCCTTCCATAACAGTGGAAGTGGAGTCTGCTGTGATCCTCAAATGGTTTTACATTATAAATTCAGACTCAAAATGCAGGTGCATAATTCCCACTGTACTTAGGTTAACCTGCCAGTCATCTCTCTCATACTAACTTCTACACTGAAACTCCAACTATTTAAATAGTTAAAGTTTTCTATACCAATCATGGGTTCATACTATATATAGAAAATTACAATTGAATAATTTTTTTCTCGTGAGGAATCTAAGTATCTCTACCAACTCCAATTAAGCGTTAGTTTTCTATAATACATTTTAACCTGGAAAAATATATGAGAAGGGAAAATATAGAAGTAATAAACCAAAGTTATAAATCTTTTCTTGCTTATATAAGTTCAAGGAGCGTAGATCTGATGTACAATAAATTCTCAGTGATTAAAGTATGAATGAGTTTCAATTACTTCAAGTTAAAACTTACAAATACATAAATGTCTCAAACATAAGTTATACCGAAGCAATTTATGTCAAGTCCTATCAATGTGGTCTTGACTTCCTTCTGAATAAACATATTTATGAACAGGCTAAGAAAATGTTCTCTGCATGCTGCCATGTGACATTCAGATATTATGATTTACTCTAAACTCCTATGCACAAGTGAGTCTGATTGAGTCCTGTGAGTTTATTCCCAGGGCAGTACACACTAATATTGTAGCTTCAGTTTCCTAAGAATGTTATAGGAATAAATTGGACTATAACACAGTATTTTTTTTTCTTCCACCTAACCCACAATACCTTGATATAAAAAGGATAATACAGAATAATATCTTTCAGTACATTTGAAAGGAATGAAAGAATACAGGTTTGAAATAGAGTAGTTTCATATTCCTCTGTTAAATCACTTAAAACACTTTAGATTGTATAAAATCCAAACATATTCAACAGCAGTATAACTTTGGTCTGAGATCAGTTTTACAACATGCAAAAAAATACCTATAGAAACTCAAATTTCTTTCTTCCATATACTCTAACATTGCATTTCTATTAAGACATTACACAAATTATTTACTCATCATTAACTAGCAATGACCTGATTATTCAATCACTCTTCTTATTTTACCTATAGCAAGAACGCAAACATTTTAGCTAACTCCTGAAAGCTAAGTATGGTTGGACCAAACTAGTACTTGGATGACCACCAAGAACTCACAAGGCTATAGGCAGAGAATTGGAAGAAATATCATGGAAGAAAGGAATGGAAAACCATTTGAATATTGTGTGGATAAGAAAAATTAGAGAGATATAGTCATCAAGAGTTGATTTTTTTTGTCAACTCTGTATTGTTTTCATATAAACTAAATAGGTTTATCCCTAATCTCTTATACTATAAATTCACATGAAGCAAATAAGAACAAAATATGGATTGCGTTTCCACAAATGCTTTGTTCAAATCCAACATTATTATTTAAAAATGAATATTATCTGTCTGTCTTAAAAAGCTGAGTGTCTTCCAAATCATCATTAAAATAGGAAAAGGAAAGGAAACTCCTCTAAACAAATATCAAATTAATTTTAAGGAGATAAAGCAACTCTCACTGTATGCCACTGTATGTTTTTCTATATTAGGCACACATGAAAATCCTGTAGCAATCAATAGAGCTTACTTCAACTACCTGTACATCCTACTGTGAATTAATTACCTTTCAATAAAGTTAACTAACATCACTAACAAACAATAGTCAGCATCTTACAACTTTGCAAATCTTAAAATGCATGCTAGCAATTTTGCATTCATCTTAGCTACACAAACCTGCAGTGGTCTGTGTATTAACATTTAACAACCAGTCTGCAGTGCTGAGCAGAGTCATGTCACCTAAAGGAAAATTGCAAAGAAAATAAAATGCTAGTAGTTTTTCCATATATGGCACAGAATCACATGTATGTAATATCCATCAAAAAAGTTTTATTCCTTTTAAATTGATAACGCATTAGTTCTGTTCCTTCTCTCAATTACTTGGAATTGTTGCATTAAAATAATTTTAACTTAACATCCTGATAGGTTTGTTTAGAAAGAAGAATAATCCTTGTAGGCTTCATTAATTAAAGTTGTTAACTCCAGAATATAATAGTTATCATCATACTTATACTCATCATATATATATACTATGCCAAATTGAAAGATTTTTTAAAGTAGCAGTCTGTCTCATTTAGATGTCCTTCTATGTATCTCCAAGTCATTTTTAATTAAATCTGAGAGTAAAGATGGTTGCGAGAAGGGGGATGACAATGATCAGTGGATGGTATCTCTCTCTTAAAGGAATGCAGTATACTATGTACAAGTTTTTATTTTAATATACTAAACTTTCTTATAAAAAAGTTAAATTTGCCTATTACCTTTTTTGAAATATTTCAAAGGAAATTGTTAAGTTGTTCTACACAACATATTGTATGTGTAGTTTTCCTAAAATATTGCTGTGCTAATATCCTCATTCAATGCATATTGGAACGCTATCTCCTATAGTACCATGTTCTTATGCATTTTAACATATTAAACTGCAATTTTGCACATTTTCATACTATTTTTTTTTCATTTATATTAAATATTTCTTTTAGTGGCAAATTAACCATGTAAATGAACATGCAAGATAAAACAAATCCTGAAACATTACTGATAGCAAGCTTCAAAACATCTATAAATAAACTACTAATATAATTTGTCACTAGCACCACCTTATATTCATTAAAAACATATACAGTAGCAGAATTTATCTAGTTAACATTCTTGCATATCTACTAAAGAAGTCTGGTTTCCAAGATGCTAAACCTGAAAGTCATAATAGTAACTTTCAGATGCCAAAACAAAGCTGCTGCTTAAAATCAGCAAATAAATAAACACCTAGATGAAAAGGTTAGTCATCCCTAGCCTTTATGTAGAGAACTGGAGAAACATTCCAGCATTATGTTCTCCACTTTCATTCAGATAGTAAAGCCCAAATGTAAATGTAAAAATGGCAAGGCCTCATACAAAATTTCATACTGTTTGTAAATTATATAATGATGTTTCTATATATGTATCATAGGCAACATACACAATCAGGAACTAACCTTCTGTGCCATTGGGTGTCATGGAATTATTATTTAGGTGAGAATTATCAAGTTGTGGACCATTAGGAGACTCACTGCCAGCACTCAGACGGCTATGTGGGGTGGCTAAATCCTGCATTTCCATAGACCTAAGGAAAGAAAGAAATTTAACTATAGAAAAACAATTCAAGACTTTTCACATGTTATGTCTACAATTAATTTTTCTACCTCAAACACATAATCATTTCTGTAAGTACAAATCTACATATATTTATAGCTTTGGAAAGTCTGTAAGAAATAAAATCCAATGGATCTTATTCCTAGGTAAGGAGTTTTGCACCTTTCCATACACAAAGCATTAATGTCTAATGAGAATCTTAACATAGCAAAAACAAGTTACTTCTTATAATATACCCATGTATTATAATGTATAAATTTTGATGTCAGAGGCAATAATAGCACATTAAAAAGTGAGTACCCAAAGTAACACTGCTTGCTTGCATATAATTGACCACCCAATTACAATTTCATGGGCCTCCAAACCAAAGAAAACACTTTAAGCAATAGTTGAACCTACCTACAGACTACTGACAAGGAATGAGATATTCCTGATGTATGTGTTTACTCTAGCAAACTACTTAATTGTTCCTCTGTTTCTATTGAAACAAATGCAGCATTACATTATTATTATGTCTGTTCTCATGTTTGCTTTGTGGATTACATAAAGTGTGCCCCCTGAAAAAGGATAAGACCAATGCCCAATGAATGGTTCTAGCATTAATATACTTAGCACTTTGCGGTACTTGAACTGTCACTTAAATAAAATAAAAACTGAGCTAAGTACAAAATTGCCAATATTTTCTCCTTTAACTATGCTTTAGTAAAATACTAACATTCTTAAATATACCACTTTTTATAATACATTTCCAATTGTGCTTTGTATAATATATATAAGTTAGGCAATAGTCAAAACACACATTCTGAAATAAAAATAGTTTTTGAATAAAGAAATAGTGCTAGAATACTTTATTCATATTTATGATATGAAAATATCATTGCTATCAATTCTAGATTTTCCAAAATGCTAATAAACTTACTAGTTTGGATTTTCAAATTTGCTCGGAGGATTTTTTTTTTGTAAAATACTATCTGAAATTATACTAATAGGTAAACAAAGTTCAATAATGCAACTGAACTGAATCTTTCCAGACTTACTTCATATTCTGTCAAATCCATGCAAAGAAGCATATTTTTCAAAATTCATTATTATGTATTTAGTTTTCAACAACTGCTTTCTTGTAATAAATTCTTTTGACAATGGTTCTGTTTATCGAACTTATATTTAAAATGCACTAGTTTTCCAACTTATGTACAAGATTCTGTATCACTGATTAAAAAAATCCAACCAACTGAATATTTTTTAAATTCAGAAAAGTATTTTTAATCATCATTTTAGAATATTTAAAGAGTGAAAATATTTCTCCAGTTTAAAATTAAGAAACAAATCTCATTTGTATATTTGCCACTTGAAGTAAACAAACAAAACTTCAGTCTAAGCTTTTCTTTCCATAGAAAAGCGACTTTCTAAAAATTTTAACCTTACCTGGGAAAGGATGAAGCAGCAACATCTGAACTGACTTGGGATTTTTACACCTGCAAACCAGGGACACAAACAGAAATCTATGTTATCCTATGTTCATGTCAGGTCTTAACCTAACAAAACAAAGAAATTTTCCTGGAGATCGTAATGCTGTTTTTTAACCTAAAGAGGAGGGGGACAGTACTTCGGTGAAAGACATATTGTGTTTAAATTGAAGCTTCAACTGTTGTTTCCTCCAGCAGGTCTATCCCCCTCCTGCCCATGTCATGGGGAAGGCAGCCAAATGACGGGATAGTGATTCATCACTTGTCTATGACAGCTGCACACTGCATTACCCCTCCCCCAATCAACATGTAAAGCTGTCTTCCTAAAGTAGTTTAGGAAGAAGTGCCTAGGTAAGGAAGCTATTAACCAGAGCAAGCAATTTTAAGGAAAGACGCTCTAACACTCCAACACCCTCTAAAGATCTATCAGCCAGCTTTTATTATCACTAACTGAAATATATCTCCCTCCCACTCTTTAACTCTTTACAGTCTTTTATGCCTAGCAAATTACTTTTTATCTTTTCACCCAATTTATGTTTTAAAGTTCAGACTTCAGATCGTTTTAAAAGATTTCAAGTCAGTGCTAAGCGTGTAAAATACAGCTATGTTATACTTTTATAACTCATCTGTGAAGTTTCTTCATGTCTAACTGGGCCAGAAATTCTTTAGCCTTCGATCTGCGCACTCCTCCACTAATCTAAATTAAGCTAAAAATAACCATACATACCTCAGAAAAAATGAACTTTATGCAGTCTTTTAAAATATGAATCGCACATACAAAAATGGTTTGCTAAATAAGCTACTATATGTTCTCAATGAATATTATCCTTCAAGACAATTAACTTTTCTTTTAAAAAAATCAAAATATTTTTGGATTTATATAATGTAGATTAGCTTTTAAATTTCAAAATAACTTGTAAATAAACTGTATTTAAGAACAGGCTTGACAGAAAATTGTTTCTAAAGAGCAGGTGATATATCTCAGGTAAAGATCCGCTGCTTGCTTGAAAGTACAAACAAAACTTCTCCAGCTATGGCATGTATATCTTAAAAAATCTGAATTCAGAATTCCACGCAACCTGAACTGACATTTCCTAGATGATCACAGAACAAAGACAAGAGAGATGAAGCATTTTAAGTGCCATAAAAGTCATCTAAGCAAATCTCACTTATGTGTTTGTAGTTTTTGTTATTTTTAATCTTAGACAGAATTACTACTTTAGAAAGCACACACCACTCCTATAAGCAGCCAGACAACATATAATGTTACACATAAGGGCAAAAAGAATGCTGTAACAGAGATAGAACAACTACAATATTTTCCTTGTGCTGTTTTAAAATGCCGCATAAGAGACCATAAAAAGCTAATTCAAATATCAAGTGTATGTTTGCAACAACTAAACCATATTCTTTCAAGATTTTTAAAAAAGATGTAAGTGTTAAATGAGAACGTTTTACTCTAATACTCAAAACTGCGCCTTTAGGATATGTTCTCTCACACTTCTTGAATATACTTTGAATAAATTATAGATGGGAAAGTAGCATGCTTAAAACTATCTGTTAAGAATAGTTATTTTAGTATTTTAAATTAACTTCTATAATATATATTTATATTTTGTATTATATTTAATATATATGTGCTAATCATGTACAATATTACAATGTGTCTTTTGTACGCTAGATTACATATGATACCATGTATAATACAAATATTTGCATATCTTTTAATATTATAGAAACTGAGAGTTCATTTGTAAGATCTTCATTTTCGTGTCATACTTCAGTTGCAATCCTTTGCCTATTAAGGATTATTTAAGTCACGTGTTATTCATTATACTATTTAAAAATAATTCTTTAATCAAAATAACTTTAAAACTACTAATCTCCTATTAGATTGGTCAATGAATCCACATAGTATATAGGAAAAATAAATCTACTCTCAAGAATGCAAATGCAAGCAACAATTAGACACAGATGTTGGTGACATTAGTTATAATTTACAAAATACTATACTTCATATGTTTTTGGAGGACTATGAGGGATGCAAAATTACACTGTAGGGAGTGATTGCAGTATGATGACCAATTTATAGAGAATAACACATGGATGAATGATACTTATTAGTATTTCAATTAATATACATCTACTGTAGCTTAAAATCTTACTGAGGAAGTGTAAGCTGTTCAAAATAATAGTTTTACTACTCAAATCATCCCATAAAGCAGATGTTTGCAGCAATAATTAGAATCAACTGAAGAATTGATGCACTAAAAATGGAAGATAGGATTATTGCAATATGCAAAAATCAAGTTGTGTAATCAGACCAATAAGTTTTGAAAAAAAGGCAAAATCTGGAACTTCTTTGCCATATAAGTAATCATTACATGATCATGATTCAAGAACTGAATATAAATTAATAAATTGCAAATCTGATTTTTAATTCTTCCTAAAAACATGATGTAATTTTAAACTTCATTTAGTAAAATTACAATGACAATTAGGATGGTAATAGAGTCATGCAGCTCTGTAAAGTTTACTTGTGAACAGGCCTGCATAAAAGTGCACTGCCAAATATCTTCACAAATAATACCAAATTGTGACCACCTTATAAAATCTTTTCAGTTGGTCTTTTTTTTCTAATTAACTTCATAATTCTTTACAGATGTAGGTTTTGTTGATATTCAATTTGTCTCTCTCATTTTGTTAAACCTCACATAGTACTCTAACAATCCAATGAATAGCCACATTAAATCTGTTAATACCATGCTCTTCAACCCCAGAAATTATTTCCAGAAGGCAAACTTGCTTTAAGAGTTCATCAAACAGAACTTAAGGTACACATTTTATCACATTTTCCCTACCACAGAGCTCAGGATGCAGAAGAAAATTCATGACTTTTGCACTGTTTATTATACTTTGGTAAATTACAAATCAAAAGCATCTGACAGAAAATCATGTATGAAGCCAGAAACTTAATAATGTTCCGTGAAAAGTAAACTGTAAATGGGAAGGGTTTCTAAATCTCAGCAGCACAGAGCAAGTAAAGTGAAGGTACTTGTCTAAATGATTGGTTTTCCAGACTTTTTAAAAATTGCTAGAAGCAATTTATAAAAAGGAATTTATAATTTAAAACATTTCTTCTAACCAAAAGGTATTTTTTTAAAAAATACTGTAAAGCTCATATTTGAATTAATAAATTATATTCAGCCAGGTATAATCTAAATCCCCAGAGTTCTTTTAGTTACTTTTTTCAAATATTGCCCTTTTAAATAAATAAAAAAAAGGTTGACTTACAGGAGTCACAAATGTTGCCGGTTTCAAACATGGAGTTACTTAAAAATTACTTTAGAATGCATGTATCAAAAGTGCATGAATCATTAAAATTGATTTTTAACTAGTATTGGATCTTCACCCAACAGATATTGGCATTTCTAATGAAATATATTGACATATGACTCAAACATAAAACTGAAGACTAGGTTTCTGAAATAGATATAGAAGTCAAAATAAAATATGTTGATTTGTACAGAATGAATCTATCTTTTGATAAATATATATACAATCTCTGCTCTTGAATCAGGGATCTTTTTTACTTCAATGAATAATCCCAAAAACATCAAAAACAAGCCATTCTTCCATTTTTTTCTCTGCCATTTGGAATCATGCACTTCCCTGCTGTATTTATGAAAAATGAAACAATGGCTTGTTTTATAAATCTGTTACTGTGCAGGATTCAGCTTCCAAAAGTATAAGAAAGGTCATTTAAAGGGAGTACTATAACCCAAACAGTATCAAGATTTGAATAATACATATTTTGTTTTGAACAAATATTGTGACATGGATTAACATAAACTATAATCCTTTCAGAAAAATAGGAAAAAATGAGCAATATTAAGATGAATAGTATAGGGTGTGCTTTAAAGAAAAATGTAAATAGAAATAAAACATTATAATTTCTAGAATGCTATTCTTAAAATTTGTCAGTTTTTCTTTTGCAGAAAAATATATTTAGCTGGTTTAAATATTATTCAAACTCTGAATTCATATTTTATCATTTTCCTTGTAAAGTGCACTTACATTGTTACCTGAGGCTAATTTAACATGATTATGGTTTGGGTGTTTTAAACATCTGGTAGCATTTATAAAATAGGTCAAAAATGAAACTTACATTTTTTATGAATGATGAAATTCAGAAGCTTCATATAAATACAGTGGTATATTAATGCTAGTTAATTGTAAGCATTTAGTTTCCAGAAATACCAAAGGTTTTACGTTATAATTATGTCAGGTAGCTTGATAAAGTCATCCTTTAATGCTCAGCAATTTCTCCAGGATTTCCTCCTTCAGAATAAGCTGTCAAAATTTCTGCCACACATCCTTCCTCCAAATTTATTTTCTTTCCTTCTGAATTGTCTTTCACCAATTCAAGGATCTTTTTAAAAAATCACTCATCACTGGGTTATTTATTTTCAGTGACCCGCAACACTTGAGAAAACTAAACAGTCATATCAAGCAAATTTAACAAAATAAATACTTTAGAAGCACAGAACATCTGACTTGAACGACGTCTACATAAAGAGGAAGTTCAGCCAAATTTTACTGCAAAAATTTTTGTGACGTATATTAGGTATTAACAGGAATGGGGAGGGGGGGAGAAACGTGCATATGATCCCATGGTGGTGGATCACTTAGTTGCTTGGAAAACTTGTTTTTGCCACATAGGGCATTTTTGCGGATGACTCCCTTATAAAGCTTCAGTCGGGCCAAAAAAATTGTGTGTGTGTTTGGGGGGGGGGGGGCTTCTCTCACCGTTTTACAAGAAGAGACAGTTGTTGTCAAATCCATGCAGTTTTCGAAACAGACAGGTTTGTACTTACAGCGAACGGCTTTGCAGCATCCACCAGGGTTAGGTACTCCCTTCACGTGAACCAACCAGTGTTGCTCACATCGTTTTGGTTTTAAAAGCTCAACAGCCTGTGCTGATTGAAAAAGAACAAAATAAACCAGTAACCCTCGACCCACTTCAAGAGCAGCCGTCACTCGCTCTGGAGGACAATTTCGCGTTTAGAGCGAGGAGCGGGTGAGGGTGACTTCTGCTGCTGCTGCCGCCGCCGCCGCCGCCACGGGCTGTGCTTGCCAAGCGTCTGTGTGAGGCAAAGGAGAGAGTGAGGTGGCGGCGGCGGCGGCGGGAGGGGCGGGGAGGGGGGCCTTCGGGTCTCCAGAGCGAAATTGAAAACAGCCAACGAGGACTTTCCCAGGAAGGCTTAAAGTCGGAAGTGGCACTGAGGGGTCCGTCTGCAGCAGCACCCAGTTCCCAAATCGGCGCGCGCCTAAGTTCCCGCTCAAATGCTCTCTCAAGCAAACCAAGGCGCCCTTTCGCTCGCTCGCTCTCCGGCTCTCCGCAAACGCGGCCGCAGATACGATCGCTGAAGAGTAGACAAAGAAACAGCCGAAGCCTCGTCGGCGCTCGCTCATTGCCTCTATCTTGGCCCAGGCTTGGAGGTCTGCCCCAATCTAGCCCGAAGGCTTTTCCGCCTTCCTCCCCCCCCCCCGCCCCACTCCCCAACAACACACCCCGCCTTGCGACTCGTCCCCTTTTGTTTATTCTTAATGCAAACCACAGCTAGTCTCTCGTCCTTATTGGTTTGAACATGCGAACAATCGAAGTCAGCCTTGGGCTGGCTGGTCGGAGGCCACCTTTGCTGGCAAGCAATTTTGGTATGCAAATGAAGGATCCTGCGGCATGTGCATAAACAGCTGTGTGTCGGGGGTGGGGGGGGGGAGAGATGCAGCTGAGCGCGCCCTGTCAAGAAGCGGGCCGGCGGGCGGGCTTTCTGCTGCGGAGGCACCGGCGCTACCGAGCCACGTAGAGCTTCGCAGAGCAAGCGGCGCGGAAAAGCCCCCTGTGCACTTTCCAAGCGGGCTAGCCCGGCGTTGGGCTCCTTAGCCCGGAGCGGAGCTGGGGGATGGGAGAGGTGTGGATGGACTTAAAGCCTTGGCCCGATCCCCAAAGCAGGCGACCCAGCACAGCGTTCGCGACCCTCTCCAGATCTGTTTTAAGTACAACTAAAAAGAGAGCGATCCAGCAATATCAACTCTCGCGTCTGCACTTGTTTGGATACGGATCGGAGTTTTGTTCCTGGGTATCCCTTAAAGAGGCAAAAATACGAAAGAGAACAAACAAGAAGGCAAACCGCTAAACCCCTGACCCGTGCCAAGCTCCAGCAATTTGACAGAATAACCACCAATCTTTCAACTGTTTATATGCGGGGGTTAAAACGATGGTGGGCAAAATGAATTATTTAAATATACTTCTATTTGGATTCAATCTTTTTTTCGGGGGGAGTAATTCTGCATTATCCTTATTTCTACTTATTTTTTTCTGCAGAATGACTCTAACTGTAATAATATTACAGTTGCCTTTGCGTATGTTAAACATTAACGTTGAATTTAGAGGCAATTTTTAGAAATAATTCTTAGATAAGACAAGTATCTAAAATCCAGATAGCTAATGTTGCTTTGAGCTATTTTAACCAATCTCAGAATGCAAAACCATTTCTAAATTAATACTGTTCCAATTCCAATACAAATAATGTACTACCAAAGAAAAAAAGATTGTTTGTTAAAACATGTTAAAATATCTGTAAAAACTGTTTTTGAATGAAGGGTATAGTTTTGCCTGAATGTATTGCCACATGAAGTAACATGAGTACACAGTTGAATATTGGAATACTGTATAAAGTTAGCTTCAAATAATGTTTGTTATAAATACAAGCTTATAATCTCAACATACTTTACAAAAATACTGTGCAATGTCCAGCTTACATATTTTCAGAAAATAATACAGTGGGTAACTTTCCAAAAGGCAAGGAAATTGTGCCATGACAGTCTTGAGCAGAACTCTGGTTGCTTAGTGAAGGCAAAAAATCATGATAGACATTTCCATACATGGAAGGTTAAGGTCAAAACCCACAAATGTCTGTTAGGTCTGCCTCTGTGGCATGACACATATATTCACAATATATCTCTTCTTTTAATTCTTAAATATGTTCAAAGTAGAATTTGTAATGTTATATTAAATTGCACTGGCAATAAAATCATATGCAATATTTTAATGTTACTGAAACACTTCATTAAATAAAATATTTTTAGGATGACATAGAATGCTCCTTATTTTGGGAGTTCTTTTCATAAGTAATTTAATTAATTTGTAATATGTATAGTAATGTCTTATTTCGCAAGTATATGGTTAATACAAAACTTTAGTGGAAAAAGTGGTTTTATGTTTATTTTGAAACACACATTAATGATTTTTTCTCCCAAAAGGCAAGAAAAGAGAATATGAGGCAGTATGGCAAATACTGGGCTTGTGCTAACAACACTTTTTAACAGTGCAATCCTATTCTGGCCAATTCAGTTTACTGAGAATTATACCCAAGAAAGTGAGTGTAAGATTGAAACCAAATCCTTTTAGAAGATGTTTTAAAATGTCATCTTACCAATGACAATACAATATTAGTTAGACATTTTGCATTTTTCAGTGTTACAAATCAATAATAACTTTATGTACTCTCTTTAAATCATGTCTATTCATTTATATTTACAATGGTTAACATATAAGCTATCTCAAATAAGACAGGTGCATATGGATCTGGGAATAATTATCTGCTTTAGATTTTAACAAAGTGTTAAATTGGTAGTAGCATCAGAAAATGTGTTTTATGCTAACATTTGTTTTAGTACAGTGCTTTTCAGCAGTTAGCCACCTACAATATTATCTGAGGAAATAGAATTTTTGAGTATTTGATTTCATCTTGTCTTTATAGTAGATGAAGTTCTTGCACAGTGACTTTTTATAATTTGACTATTCTTTTGTGGGAGGAGTATTAACTATTACTTCTCATTGATTCCTCCTCCTCTTTGTCACTGAATATCCAATCCACATTCTCAAATTATAGTACTTATGCATAACATATTTGGGAGCAAATTCTACTGAAATCAGTGGGGGTGACTTGATGTATTTAAAACCAGGGTATCATACTTCAGTGAACTTCTTTGACCATTAAAACAGTTGAACCAGACTTTAGTTTATGAACCAGTGCTTTAGTTTATGAAGTAAACTTGCATAGGCCCACTCTAGTTATTCTAAATATGTTTAAACAGTTGCTTTCGCCCAAGGACAATGCAGAATGCCATAAAACAATAATAGGATGGTATATTTCCATTCAAATATTTTGGGAAAGTTTACGTTATCTTTTTGGAGTAAACAAATCAGCAAGTATCACTATGATACAGCACAAGAAAATGCTATTAAAAATTCAAAAGTCATTCTACGCTGCTGGACTAAACCAAAAGCTTTTTGTTTGCTTGCTAATACTATAAATATCAGAAAGGGACAATGCAGCCTGGTCTCTAGGTTAACTTCCGGAGATGAAGAAAGAATGGTCTGTCTGGAATTCTTGCAAATCTGTGTATGGAATATTGGGATATAGATCTCTGCCTATGATGTCCAAAGCCAAACAATCTGGAATCTCTTACATTTCAAATATTGAAACAAAGGGCAGAGATGGTTAGCATAAGGCAACCTCAGATAATATCTTGCTATCTTTGATTTTTTAAAATAGCAATTTACTTTACAAGCAGCTTTATTTAATACTGAATGGGAATCATTTGCTGGGATGCAGATGTTGCACTAGCAATAATGTATATATTTGGACATATTACGATATATTATGGCACGGCCTATAATATTTATTTTGTGAACACACAAAGAATATTAGAAGAAGTATTAAGAGGGTACTTTCCCCCCCCCCCCTTAAAATATAAGTTCATATACAAGCTAGTTTAGGCACATTCAAGCATTGGCAGTACTGTATTCAATGAAATATTTTTGAACAGCTGTCCTTAGTGATGTATCACAAAACTGCTTCTGAAATGCTGTGAAGTTTCAAAACAATGCTTCTGTTTGTGAATTTGCACAGGATATATATGGAACTGACATACTGCCAGTATGCCAAGCAGATGCAGTACTTGGAAGTTCTGATAAAAATATATACCAGATCAAAATCTGAAGATAACGATTAAGAAAATTATTTTAATTTCAGTGTTATCTCAATTCTATTGGATCCTAAATTGATCCAGCAATTCATTCTAGGCATAGTAACAGAAATAGGCACATATCAATACATATATTTTTAAAATTCAGGTGATAGTTTAAGAACCTTCAGTAAACAAGCAGAAAAAATTAGACGACAAATCTTTAGCTTTTTAAAATCTCAAGTTTCATTTACTCCAGTTATGAAGGAATGTATAAATTTCAGGACTTATGTATGATATTCAGAAAGCTCAATTTGAATGATATTACCCATACATTCTGACCAAATTCAATAGATATTATTGTTAACCACACGGGATGTTGTAAAAACAGTGGCATCTGAAACCCAAATTTTAAGAGATAAATGTTTAACATACTGCTTGGATAATAAGAATATTTTCTTTCATTTCCACTAGATTTTATTGAACTCTCAAGCTCTTTCCACTGTTTTCAATGCAAATAACAAAAATAATTTAATGAATATTTATAAAGAAAAAAAAATGAACCGATTACAAATCTTGCTCATATCTTTGCAGAGTGAACTTTTGGCTCCTTCCAAAGACCTCAAGTCCTTATTGTTATAGTTACTTTTAGAACAGAATCAGGAGGCAAATTCCTTATATAAATTGATTGATTGATTAGTTATATTTTTTCTTCCTTTCTCTTCAAAGTACTTTCAAAATGGCTTGCATTCAATTAAAAATAAGAACATTCAATCAGGAAAAAATATGAATAACAAGCCATCAACAAACTTACTCAGTGTAAATATGAAATGATGGATCCACATATATCATTTAGATCTCATTCCTGATACTTGTTAAGCATCCTTCATTTGTTTAATGAAGCTTACGGAGATAAAAGGTGCATGACATTATCTTGAATTATGTATTCATAACCTAATCATATTTTCAATCCTAACCATTTGAAACTAAGAAAGCCACTACTTTTGTCTGGGTGATTCTATAACATCATGTTACATTGAAGTCATACTCTATTGGAGTCTATAGGCACTATATGTGTAATGTAATTTTATCTATCAAGAACTTTCAAAATATTTTTTTTCCAAAATAACGTTTCAGTTATCCTGATATGTAACAAATAGTAAAATAAGATTTAGAACTTCTAGCTCTTAAAATTAGTTTCTTTCTCATGCATAATTCCTCTGAGTTTTAAAAGATATGAAACAAGCAGCTTCTACACTTTATTGCCCAGAAGATCAAGATAAAATGGCACAGGAACTTAATTGGTCTTCTGCAAAACATTGTGCACAAAGATGTATAGAAAAAAATAATAATATATGGTACTGCCTAAACTAAGAGAGATAATAGCTAATATCATGGTAATTTCCCAGATAAATTGTCAATAATTCATTTTAATAAACCACTCAACACATACAATAATAGTTTTTAATGACTGATCATAATTATTATGGGTGTATATTTAAATGTACAACAACCAAATTGTAATTATGAGACAGTTCATGGACTTTTATGAAATAGACAAAGATTAGCATCCATGTGATTAGAAAGTGCTGAAGTCTTTTAAAATATTCCAAA